GGCCCGTGGGGGGGGGGGGGGCAGGGTTTCCCTTCACTTCCTGTCCAAAATGCACACCAGGTAGTGAGAGGAAATCCCTGGCGCTCACCAGAGCTCGTGTCCCCATTGGTAGATCTCCCATCTCTTCCTGTTCTGGTGACAACCCGAAATTCGGGATTTTCTTTTCCCTTTCAGCGAGAACATTCACCAGGACAAACAGAGCGGGAGAATCACAGACGGCAATAAAAACCTGACAGGGGGGCTGATCCCTCCCCGCTGCAGTTATGACTCTGTGCCACTAGGTGGCTCTGTGGAGGTATATATTTTGGGGGTGTCTTTACTTTGTATCATTTAGAATCTTTCCACTTTGTCTTCCTGGCAGATGGAGATTGACTTGTGATGGATCCCCTGCGCCCCCGGTGGTCTCTCCCTCCACAAGGTTACGTTGTCACTTCCTCTCGTCGTGTCTTCGTGTCATTGTCTCTGTTATACGGTTGAGATTTCTCTGAAGACAGGAAGTGGTTAAACTGTATCCAAACCCCAAAGAACAACAATGTCACCTGCTGCAGCTTATCGGCCTTCAGATCTGGCGCCTGCGTTCCTTTTCTGTAACTTCCAGATCACATGACCTGCAAATAACGATACCAACCTTTCCCCGTGCACCTCCCCGGACTACAGAACTCCTCCGCCTTATGTTATGGTGAAAAGAAAACATGGAGGTGTCCTGCAGTCCTATCCTATGGTGACAACTCTGCTCCTCCATAGATATAGTACGATGAGCGCTGTCACCCTCGGGCAGGAAGTGTGTTACTGGCAGGATCACCAGGTGAAGCTAAGGAAGGAAAGTCATGTGAGGAGAGGTTGCTATGACAATTGCACCCCCTGCATCCCTCTTCCTACACTGCTCACCTCTGCACCCCCTGCATCCCTCTTCATACAGAGCTCACCTCTGCACCCCCTGCATCCCTCTTCCAACTGTGCTTACCTCTGCACCCCCTGCATCCCTCTTCATACTGTGCTCACCTCTGCACCCATTGCACCCCTCTTCCTACTGTGCTCACCTCTGCACCCCCTGCATCCCTCTTCCAACTGTGCTCACCTCTGCACCCCCTGCATCCCTCTTCCTACCGTGCTCACATCTGCACCCCCTGCATCCCTCTTCCTACAGAACTCACATCTGCACCTCCTGCATCCCTCTTCCTACAGAGCTCGCCTCTGCACCCCCTGCATCCCTCTTCCAACTGTGCTCACCTCTGCACCCCCTGCATCCCTCTTCCTACTGTGCTCACCTCTGCACCCCCTGCATCCCTCTTCCTACTGTGCTCACCTCTGCACCCCCTGCATCCCTCTTCCTACTGTGCTCACCTCTGCACCCCCTGCATCCCTCTTCCTACTGTGCTCACCTCTGCACCCCCTGCATCCCTCTTCCTACTGTGCTCACCTCTGCACCCCCTGCATCCCTCTTCCTACTGTGCTCACCTCTGCACCCCCTGCATCCCTCTTCCTACTGTGCTCACCTCTGCACCCCCTGCATCCCTCTTCCTACTGTGCTCACCTCTGCACCCCCTGCATCCCTCTTCCTACTGTGCTCACCTCTGCACCCCCTGCATCCCTCTTCCTACTGTGCTCACCTCTGCACCCCCTGCATCCCTCTTCCTACTGTGCTCACCTCTGCACCCCCTGCATCCCTCTTCCTACTGTGCTCACCTCTGCACCCCCTGCATCCCTCTTCCTACTGTGCTCACCTCTGCACCCCCTGCATCCCTCTTCCTACTGTGCTCACCTCTGCACCCCCTGCATCCCTCTTCCTACTGTGCTCACCTCTGCACCCCCTGCATCCCTCTTCCTACTGTGCTCACCTCTGCACCCCCTGCATCCCTCTTCCTACTGTGCTCACCTCTGCACCCCCTGCATCCCTCTTCCTACAGAACTCACATCTGCACCCCCTGCATCCCTATTCCAACTGTGCTCACCTCTGCACCCCCTGCATCCCTGTTCCTACAGCGCTCACCTCTGCACCCCCTGCATCCCTCTTCCTACTGCGCTCACCTCTGCATCCCTCTTCCTACAGCGCTCACCTCTGCACCCCCTGCATGCCTATTCCTTTAGCGCTCACCTCTGCACCCCCTGCATCCCTCTTCCTACTGCGCTCACCTCTGCATCCCTCTTCCTACAGCGCTCACCTCTGCATCCCTGTTCCTACTCTGCTCATCACTGCACCCCCTGCATCCCTGTTCCTACTGTGCTTACCTCTGCACCCCCTGCATCCCTCTTCCTACACTGCTCATCACTGCATCCCTCTTCCTACACTGCTCACCTCTGCACCCCCTGCATCCCTCTTCCTACACTGCTCATCACTGCACCCCCTGCATCCCTCTTCCTACAGCGCTCACCTCTGCACCCCCTGCATCCCTCTTCCTTCAACGCTCACCTCTTCATACACTGTTCACCCCCCTACTTTCTTGTAAGCTGCTCACCCCATGCAGCTTACCTCAGGGCAGGATTCCATCTCCTGCCGCCAGAGACACCATTGACTCTGAGCAGTACGGGGGTGGAGCCTAAGCATGGGGTGGGGCGGAGCCTAAGCATAGTCCCACTCGCCATGGTAACCAGTTAATGGACAGGCTCCTCTCCTTCCTTGCAGGTGCCAGACACCTGGAGGGGAGGAGCTTGTCCATAAAGTGGCTACAGCATCAAGTCACGAATTTGTCTGTTTCACTGATTCAGCATAAAAACAAAGCCGGTTCTGTGCGGCTGATGTACATTTCCTGCCCCACATCTGTGTACACTGCGGTGAGGTCTGATCTTCATTTCCTGCACCTTCATCTGCAAAGATTATTATATATAATATACATTATATTACCAGAAGTATCGGGGCGCCTTCACACGCACATGAACTCTAATGGCCCCCAGTCTTAGTCCGTAGGGTTCAGTATTGGGTTGGCTCCGCCCCTCTAATGGCCCCCCAGTCTTAGTCCGTAGGGTTCAGTATTGGGTTGGCTCCGCCCTCTAATGGCCCCCCAGTCTTAGTCCGTAGGGTTCAGTATCGGGTTGGCTCCGCCCTTTGCCGCTACAACAGCTCCGCCTCTTCTGGGAAGGAGTCCACAAGGTTTAGGAGTGTGTCTATGGGAATGTTGGACCATTTCTGAGGTCAGGTACTGATGTTGGGGGAGGGGCTCACAGTCTCCGCCTCTAATTCATCCCAAAGGTGTTCTATGGGGTTGAGGTCAGGACTCTTGCTTTGTGCACTGGTGCGCAGTCATGTTGGAACAGGAAGGGGCCG